GAGAATGGGCCCTGCAGCTCATTCTGCAGTGGGGCAAATACCCTCTGTCCCTTGATAGAATGATTTGTGCGGAGTAACTTTGGAGAAAAAAAAGGAGGACTTGTGGCACCTTAGAGACTAACCAATTTATTTGAGCATAAGTTTTCGTGAGCTACAGCTCACTTCATTGGATGCATTCAGTGGAAAATACAGTGGGGAGATTTATATAAATACATAAATTATATAAATGTATATAAAATACAGTAGGGAGATATAAATCTCCCCACTGTATTTTCCACTGAATGCATCTGATGAAGTGAGCTGTAGCTCACGAAAGCTTATGCTCAAATAAATTAGTTAGTCTCTAAGGTGCCACAAGTACTCCTTTTCTTTTTGCGAATACAGACTAACATGGCTGCTACTCTGAAACCTAACTTTGGAGAGTTTTCCTCCTCAACTTCCCCTCAGGAGATTCTGGCTCTGCATTACTGAAGCTAAAGAAGGTATTTGTTCCTTCAAAAGCCAGAGCTGCCACAGCTGCCCTGCAGACAAGATGTGCTCCAGTCAGAGCATTTATTGACTCTTGACAGACCCATTGGAAGAAATTATGGGAACAAACTATTGAAAAAAAGCCAACTATTGTATAATAACAAGCAATTTGATGGTATCCCATATATATTATGTCCATCTGGGAGAGACACCACATTATATATTTACACATTGTTACATATATATATATATATATATATATAACAAACTACACTTAGACAAACATTAATGTTTGTACAGCATTTAGCAAGTTGTGGGTACTCCTGGAAACAAACAAATACCTGTGTGTGCAATGGATAAAATTCTCCTCTATGTTGTGGGCCAACGTGAGGCCTATGTACCACTTAAGTGCAGTCTGAATTGGTGGGTGGGTGGATTGGGAGCTTTGGTCAAACTGGATCTGGGCCTCAATTAGTCGAAATCTACCAAGGAGCTTCCCTTTTGAGCTTAGATATTTTTAACTCTTTTCCCACAATCCCCAACTTCAGCTCTCATTCCTATTGGCAAAAGTACAAGGATCACATATAAGTAGCACAATGACATAGAATGGAGTATGCAAGAAATTGTCCTTAAGTGACCACAATCCTTTCATGAAACCATGTGCAATCGATTCTTGTGTGCCAGGCATTTTCTCTGCAACAACAGTTTAGTAAATATCAAACTGGAAATATACATACTTTTAACGGCGAGGATAATTAACCATCGGTATAGATTATCAAAGGATGTGGTACATTATTTATCACTTGGAGTCTTTAAATCAAGAAACTCCCTGAAAAAGCACAAGAACAAATCTGCACAGACACACCCCTGGAACTCTGATCAGGGGTATTCTATCTGCTACCCAAGATCCATAAACCTGGAAATCCTGGACGCCCCATCATCTCAGGCATTGGCACCCTGACCGCAGGATTGTCTGTCTATGGAGACTCCCTCCTCAGGCCCCTATGCTACCAGCACTTCCAGCTATCTTCGAGACACCATGGACTTCCTGAGGAAACTACAATCCATCGGTGATCTTCCTGAAAACACCATCCTGGCCACTATGGATGTAGAAGCCCTCTACACCAACATTCCACACAAAGATGGACTATAAGCCATCAGGAACAGTATCCCCAATAATGTCATGGCAAACCTGGTGGCTGAACTTTGTGACTTTGTCCTCACCCATAACTATTTCACATTTGGGGACCATGTATACCTTCAAATCAGTGGCACTGCTATGGGTACCTGCATGGCCCCACAGTATGTCAACATTTTTATGGCTGACTTAGAACAACGCTTCCTCAGCTCTCGTCCCCTAATGCCCCTACTCTACTTGCGCTACATTGATAACATCTTCATCATCTGGATCCATGGAAAAGAAGCCCTTGAGGAATTCCACCATGATTTCAACAATTTCCATCCCACCATCAACCTCAGCCTGAACCAGTCCACACAAGAGATCCACTTCCTGGACACTACGGTGCTAATAAGCGATGGTCACATAAACACCACCATATACCGGAAACCTACTGACCGCTATGCCTACTACATGCCTCCAGCTTTCATCCAGACCACACCACATGATCCATTGTCTACAGCCAAGCGTTACGATACAACCGCATTTGCTCCAACCCCTCAGATAAAGACAAACACCTACAGGATCTCTATCAAGTGTTCTTACTACAATACCCACCTGCTGAAGTGAAGAAACAGATTGACAGAGCCAGAAGAGTGCCCAGAAGTCACCTACTACAGGACAGGCTCAACAAAGAAAATAACAGAACGCCACTAGCCATCACCTTCAGCCCCCAACTAAAACCTTTCCAACATATCATCAAGGATCTACAACCTATCCTGAAGGCAACCCATCACTCTCACAGATCTTGGGAGACAGGCCAGTCCTTGCTTACGGACAGCCCTCCAACCTGAGGCAGATACTCACCAGCAACCACACACCACAAAACAGAACCACTAACCCAGGAACCTATCCTTGCAACAAGGCCCATTGCCAACCGTGTCCACATATCTATTCAGGAGACACCATCACAGGGCCTAATCAGATCAGCCACACTATCAGAGGCTCGTTCACCTGCACGTCTACCAATGTGATATATGCCATCGTGTGCCAGCGGTGCCCCTCTGCCGTGTGCATTGGCCGAGCTGGACAGTCTCTGCGTGGAGGGATGAATGGACACAAATCAGATGTCAAGAATTATAACATTCAAAAACGAGTCAGAGAACACTTCAATCTCTTTGGTCACTCGATTACAGACCTAAAAGTGGCAATTCTTCAACAAAAAAACTTCAAAAACAGACTCCATGGAGAGACTGCTGAATTGGAATTAATTTGCAAACTGGATACAATTAACTTAGGCTTGAATAAAGACTGGGAGTGAATGGGTCATTACACAAAGTAAAACTATTTCCCCATGTTTATTCCTCCCCCCCACCCGCTGTTCCTCAGACGTTCTTGTCAACTGCTGGAAGTGGCCCACCTTGATTATCACTACAAAAGGTCCGTCCCCCTCTTTCCCTCCAGCTCTCCTGCTGGTAATAGCTCACCTTACCTGATCACTCTCCTTACAGTGTGTATGGTAACACCCATTGTTTCATGTTCTCTGTGTATATAAATCTCCCCACTGTATTTTCCACTGAATGCATCCGATGAAATGAACTGTAGCTCATGAAAGCTTATGCTCAAATAAATTTGTTAGTCTCTAAGGTACCACAAGTCCTCCTTTTCTTTTTGCGGATACAGACTAACACGGCTGTTACTCTGAAACTTATCTTTTTAAAAGATATGCTCTTGTTCAACCAGAAGATGTTACACTAGATGCAGTAATCACCAGGTGAAATCTACAGTCTGTATTATGCAGGACAGACTAGATTATCATAACAGGCCCTTCTGGCCATAAACACTTACAAAAAAGCACTATGAAATTTGGACAATACATCTCCACTAGATGGGGCACTGGAGTGGGAGTCAGGAGACCCTGGTTCTGTTCCTGGAGTTCTAAACACTGACTTGCTTTGTTACCTGGGACTAGTCTCTTTAACTCTGTCCTGTAGTTACACAATACAGTACCCATATTGAGTATTTATGGTCCCACATTAGATTAAACTTATTTTAAAGGTAGATTAGTATATTTGGTTTGTTCATAATAGCTTCCTTATGGAATCACTATGGGGCAGAGTTAAAATATTTGGGTACTTTCACTGTGCATTTTCATTTCTTAACATGTGTGGATTATTTTTTAAAGTTTAACTTAACTCTGAATTTTCTGGGTTTCTAATTTGCTTATTTTTGGAATAATTACAACGTTCTTATTATTTTTTTTCACTCTGAAATTACTGATATTTACTCTCAACCTTAACTTCAGTTTAACATATTTTTTTGTCTGGAAATTTCCGTGTTTTCTTACTTTATTAATATTTTCATAAATGAACACCAAACAAGAAACTAAAGAAAATGCTATCATGTGACATCTTTAATGAGTTAAAGACCGTAGCATCAACCTTAGGTCCTCCTCCCCAATTTTAACTTTTACGGCCAAATTCACAGGTACAGTCCAGCTGCCTTGTGCCACAAATAACATGGAGCATACTGGCAAGTAAAGCCCGGTTTACAGTTGCTTTTCTCTCCACCATTCTAACATGAAGAACCAGCCCTGATTTGCCTCAGTTTCTAAATGCATATGCTGACTAAGTTATTTCTTAACCTTTGAATATACATAATTTTGATAAATTTCCTTATGACTATCGTAATCACATTTCAAGAACTTAAGAAAATGTGTACATCTTTTGGGGAGAGAGTTTCATTTAGGACTCCCTGAGTAATATGTCAGTAAAATTTAAATTAATTGTTTTTAAACAGATCTGCGGTCTTGCCCCTTTCCTCACACTATCTTTAATGTCTATAATTTAATTGTAGATTAATATCATAATTTGCTTTATGTTCTCAGTTTCGTTTATTATTATGGTGCATTACTTGTTATACTTCTTAAACACCATCCTTGTTTTTCCCTTCTGCCTCAAACAATATCAGCAAAAGTCAAGTCTTTCAAATGGGGAAATATCTTGAAATACAGATTTTTGCTTTAAAATGCCACATGCTTCCAATCATGGAGAAATGTTTTCATGATTAATCATAGACATAATAGAGTACTATGTATAGTGAATGAACGGCAAGCAACCCCGTGTGCCACGTATACAGAGCAGCCTGCCCAAGGAACAGAGTCACACACATAGGGGTTAGATAGCAAACGTTTTATTAAAAGAATGAAGAAACCTATGGAACGATATCAAAGTAGACATGCAAGCAATACTCCAGATCCGTTACACAAAATGCACAAATGAGACACTATAAACGTGCATGCATGCAAATTAATGTACAATCTCTGGATCCCCAATCCCTTATGCAAGCATACAAAGATGGGCTGGTTAGTTATAGTCTGCAATGAGAGCAGCTGCTAATCTCCTTGCAAACTTACCGAGCCTCTGTATTTCTCCAGAGAGACTAGTTTGCCCCTGATGTTCACCAGTTTAAATGTATAAAAATCGTTCTCTTTCTGCTGCGAGGCGGCGAATGCTAAGAAAAACAGCGCGGTTACAGCAAGGAGCATGGCTAGAGGGATGAGAAAAACTCTGAAGAAGGAGGAGGAAGCCCTGTGCTCCACACTGCCCTCAGGATCTAGCATGCTGCAAGACAGCTGAGCATAGTGCTGCATAGACCACTTGCACAAATCACACAGCACTGCCGGAAAGAAAGAGCTGTTGCAAAAGGGCTTGCAACACTGGCTCTCTCAAGATCTGGGAGCGTGGCTGTGTCACACAATGCTCCGAGGGTATGCAATTTCCAGAAATGTTGGGGGATAAAAATATTTCATAAAAAAAGTATTGTGTGGTGTAATAGTAAATAAGGCCAGTTGTAGGTGCATACATATAAATGTCTGGCTCTGTGCTGGTCCTTTCAACTCAGCTAGCATTAGTAGAATGACTACTTTCCAAAGGTTTCAGAGTAACAGCCGTGTTAGTCTGTATTCGCAAAAAGAAAAGGAGTACTTGTGGCACCTTAGAGACTAACCAATTTATTTGAGCATGAGCTTTCGTGAGCTACAGCTCACTTCATCGGATGCATACCGTGGAAACTGCATGCTCAAATAAATTGGTTAGTCTCTAAGGTGCCACAAGTACTCCTTTTCTTTTTACTTTCCAAAGGGAAAATGGGACACTGGGTGAGGCTAGCCCGAGCCCTCACCTTCCTCCCTCAACCCCAACCGCTGCGTGGAGCTAACCCGAGGCTCTCCCCCACGCAGGGCTGACCCCAGCCGCTCGCCTAAGACTCCCCACACCACCACCTGTGCAGGGCTGACCTGAGCCGCTTCCCCGCGGCTGCCCCACACAGCTGGCCAGAACCGCTTGCCTGAGCCCTGCCTAACCCACACGTGAACACTTCTTCCCCCCTGTGCAGGGCTGGTGTCACCACTCCCCCCTGCACGTTTCTCTGCACCCCACTTTTTTACAGAAGTGGGCATTTGTCCTGCTTGCTTTTGACCCCTTATGTGGGTTAAAACATCCCTCATTAGGCCTCTGAGCTCTGTGTGGCGGAGCAGTTTCACCAAGGAGGGGTTAAGGGTCAAGTCACTTATTCAACCCCTGGAGTCTGGGGGCTAGCAGGGTTTTCCAGGTAAAAATGCAGGAGCTTGGGGCTGGAACTAGTAACTAGGGTTAAACAGTGAGTTTGGCGTGAGAGCCTTGAAAGAAACAGCAAGACACCTACTTTTGGGCCTTGCAAGAGATTTCTTTGCTAAAGGGAGTTGCCTGTGTGCCATTTATTTTCACCCTTGTTTGAAGGAACTGGACATGTGTACTTGTAAATAAATTACACCAAGCAAATACCTGACTCCATGTCACCAATTTCTGCTCCAAGGGGAAACTGACTTGCTATGTCAGGAATTCAGCTACTCTTTGGCAAAGGGGGAAATAACCTGTAGTGTTTTATAATGAGTAAGGTAATAGCATATGTATAGTATATTGGAAATTGATCCCTTGAATAGGAAATTAAATTCTGTAATCTAGTAATTTGTTTTCGCTTTTGCATGTAGTTTTGCAAATTTTAGGGGTCTACATTAAGTTTGGATAGGTGAGTGGGGCAGGATTATATGCCAATGGAGAACTAGCTGAAACATTTGTTTCCTATGTTTTATGGGATGTTCCACATTTCTGCTAAATCACGCTGCCTGTTCTACTTCCCACCAAACTGAGCTATGTTCCACAGATGAGTGAGAGAAAAAAATCCCCCCCCCAGCAGCCTAGGGAAAGGTCCACTGAGTTGGGAACCAGGAGTTCTGATCTCCCCTCTACTGACTACTGTTATATTTCTATGCACTTGTGATCTTTCATTATTGAGCAAAGGCTCCTGCCATAGAAAGGTTTCAGAGGAACAGCCGTGTTCGTCTGTATTCGCAAAAAGAAAAGGAGTACTTGTGGCACCTTAGAGACTAACCAATTTATTTGAGCATGAGCTTTCGTGAGCCACAGCTCACTTCATCAGATGTGTCTGATGAAGTGAGCTGTGGCTCACGAAAGCTCATGCTCAAATAAATTGGTTAGTCTCTAAGGTGCCACAAGTACTCCTTTTCTTTTTGCCATAGAAAGGACTCAGGTATCATTCCCCTGTTTTACAAATAAGTTAACTGAGAGGTTTCATACAGTCATTTCAGGATAGCTGGGAATGGAACCCAGGTCTCTCCTATTACTCTGGAGGGAATTCTGTGCCAAAAAATTAAGCACACATTTTAAAATTCTGCTGGGGGAGTGGGGCTTGATGGGGTGGGGGTCCAGGTGCAGCTCGTTGGGGGATCAGTGGGGTGGAGGTCTGGGGGGCTCAGAGGGTCCAGGTGTAGGGGGATAGGGCTTGTCAGGGGGAAGGTTCGATGGGCCTGCTTAATGGGGGCGCCCCAGCTGATGCTGAGGGGACGCCGCATGCTGGGCTTCCACTTCTCCCATCCCCTTTTCTTCTCCATTCCCCTCCCCTCACTCCCACATACACCCCTGCCCTATTCCACCACCCCCCACCTTCCCCACTGCCTCTTCCCCCCACCCCTTCACCACTCTCCCCCTCCCTTACCCAGCCCCACTGCGGGCACTTCCTGATGTACAGAAAACAGGAAGACTCGCAGCACACAGAAGGGGAATACGACGGGCACTAGGACCCAGGAGACGATGTTCAGCTGCAGAGTCAGCGGAGCCCAGACGCAGCCTTCTTCAGCTGGGGAGCTCTGCGCTTGCAGAAATGGGGGGGGGGGGGAATGATAGGTAACTCAGTGTGCCCCCCCATGCCTCGCCTCTGTTTGGAGGGGGACAATCCCCCCCCAAAACTGTGCCCATGGTTGATTGCCGCTTCCCTGCCGTTTTCTCCAGGGAAACACAGAAATTCTGCGCGGGGGGGGCGGCGTTTTCTGCAGGCACGCAGAATCCCCCCAGGAGTATCCGATGGCAAATATAACCTTATCTATTTTGTCACATAGCCTTTCAGTACAAAAAGTAAAATATATTATCCTTGATACGTTGTCTGTAACCACTAGACCATACATCACTGCCTTAACCCCCAGATCATAGCCTCTTCCAGAGCCAGGAACTGATCTGAAGATTCCTGATCTCAAGAATTCTTGTGATATTGAGCAAATAGTTGCGTAACCTAACAGCAAAGTATGCCAAGTTCCCCTTTAGTGACTGGTCCATATAGAGGACAACAGTTATACCCTTCATGCAAATGGTCATGGTTTCTGCTGGTAATCTGAAGATCCAGCATTCAAACCTTACTGATACCCCACATAAAGGTCTTTTTGGTTGCACATTTGGTTTTCCTGCTTTTTGTTTTTATAAACTCTCTTTAAAAACAATAAAAAAAAAACAACTGGTTTATTTGAGTGAGAATATATCCTTAAAAAGAAGTTATATATTTTTTAAAAGTTATAATTTGTCAATTGTAGCATGTACAACAAAATAAAGGTGGTCCACATTTTTATGTAATTTCTCACATGTTGATCACTTCTTTCACCTGTAGTAGGAAGAGAGCCTGAGACATAAGCCCTTGTATCAGAGGCCTGGTATGAGGCCTGAGCTAATGTAGTGGTCAAAGCTTTGCTGACATAAAGCAAAGTCAGGTTGTGAGCAAGAGGAAGGCCCTGCTCACAGAATCTGGCAAGAAGACGGCTGATATTGCAAAAACACACATTGCTAAGAGGTGGTAGGCACAGAGCATTCATGCAAACACATTCCAGAAGGGTGGTACCAGAACACCTCAATATCAACACGTTCCCTAAAGATAACAGGAACGTGCTGACCCATCCGAAAGATAAGGTCAGGATGACAGAATGACGGATAGAGATGTTTTGATTGAACCAACATGTACAAGGTAATGGGTGGTAACAACCTATGTCAGGGGGCAGCAATTGCCAGAGGGGCAACATGTAACTTGTTTGTATTGGGGTATAAAATGAAGTCTCAGAGAGAGTGTCTTTGGCTGGCCTAGGGGATAAGGGAAATTTCCGCCACTAACTGAGCTTGTCCATTGCCATGGGCATACGTGTTAGTGTACCTGTAACCACTGAGCCAGGGCATTAGGACCATGCTTCATTGACAATAAACCTGACCAAGTTCTTTTGCTGTGGTTATTGGGCAGTTTGATCAAGGAGCTGGGACAGCACACAGAAAAAACACATACAGATGCAGTAAAACATCTAACTACATCAACCACAAGCTTGTTTGAAGGTTGAGAGATTTGCATTTAACTGGTCATTTCCAGACTTCTTACATGTAAAACTTTTTTTTTTTAAAGGTGTAAAATTTCAGTAAAGAAAGTAACATTTAGGTGTTAGTAGGACTCCATTGAAACACACTTGCAACATTAACATTTTTAAGAGGGTTTTTTTGGTGGGGAAATTTCCTTCTTTTGTAGAACTCTGTCAGAATAAAATTAAATATTATTATATCCATTTTACACTGCATGAATGAGAATAATGTTCTGTCCTGGCAGTGTAGAAACCTTAAAATGGACTGCTACTTTAAGGCCTGTTTACTCTGCCAATGTGGTGTAAAGCAGCCGTAACATAAATGAAAATCAGTAAGATAAGCTATTACTAGCAGGACAGTGGGGTGGGAGGAGGTATTGTTTCATGATCTCTGTGTGTATATAATGTCTGCTGCAGTTTCCACGGTATGCATCCGATGAAGTGAGCTGTAGCTCACGAAAGCTCATGCTCAAATAAATTGGTTAGTCTCTAAGGTGCCACAAGTACTCCTTTTCTTTTTTAGTAAGAATCTATACATTCTGATAGCTCTCAAGAGGCCCACCAAAGTAGGGCTCCCCTACTAGAGACTTTGAGTCCATAAGAAGTTTTGGGGTAGGGATTGAAAAAAGATCCATGGCACTGGGATGGAGGATAATGGATGGTGTAGGGGAATGCAGTGGAAGTCTTTTATCCACAATGAAAACTTTAAGCATGTTAAATGTTTAAATGTGTAAAAGCTTTAAGGTGGTTAAGACTCCACCTTTCTTGTTTGCCTCAGTCTCCCTTCAACCCCCTCCATGTCTTTGAGCTCCTGCACACTCTTCACCCCCTCCCCCCTGTGTCCTGTAAAATGACATGTACAGTAACAAGCCAAACTGAATAAGGATCCATTTCTTTCTGGGGAAGCTAGAGGATATTGACACATCAAATGTACAATGGTAAAACAGATTATACTTGAAGTGGC